TAAGTACAAATTCACAAGTCATGTACATATTCTGCTTCCAAAACATATGTAAAGCAATAACAAATCCCTTCACATATTTCTTTTTCATTTACCTTCCACATGTGCCTGACCTGTAATGTACATTCTTGAAAACAAAACGAGGGTTAAACCATAAGGTCTAGTGAGTAATCCCCTTAGTTGCTATTATAAGATGAAAATCATCAAAACACTTTTGGAAAACAAATCCTTGAAAAGACATCATGTAATTAACATTTATTGTATCAAACCTTCATTTGTCCCATCATATGGATGAGACAACTCCACTTTTTAGCATTAAACAAATATAATAATCAACTTGTCATATCAAAACACATAATACACCAACTTGTCACATTATTCATATACGATAACATAATTCCTTGCATCATTCAGATGCGATAACTCATGTCTTTGCACCATTCAGATGCGATAAATTTTTTGTCGCATCATACACGTGCGATAACTCCAACTTGTCGCACCTCAAGGAGACGATAAACATACTTGTTGCATCACAAGGATGCATAAACACCACTCCTCACACAACAAAGATGCGATAAACATTATTCCTCAGATCACAAGGATGCAATAAAAACAACCATTTCATCCATCTCAAACTCATCGCATTAAACTCATGCGATAAAAATCAATCTATTAAGATGCGATAAATAATATCCCATGACCAAAAGATCATCATGTCACTCTTATCCCAATATACCAAGCAGGCTCGTTCCTGACATTTTTTAGGCCATGGGCGAACATAAAAACAGGGGGCCCACTGCAAAAAACAAGACTTTTAGCAACGACTTTTGTTGTCGCTAAAAGTCCGTTCATCATTAGAAATAATATATAACTAAAACATGTCGTCGCTATAACTTGTGACACATGTCATCGCTAAAAGGCGCATCGTCAAAGCTCACTTTTCTTGTAGTGACCTTCGGTAAATACAAAAAAAATTCAATAGATGTTTTTCATTAGTATAAAATTGAGTACAAGAAATGCTAATAATTTACGGAGTAAAGAAATCTTATTTATCTTTATTATAGATATATAAAAGTGTACTTAAATATACGTACTTCTTATTAGGTAATTTTAAATCAAGAGTATATAAACTACGGTTGATAATTTTTTATAAAAAGTAAGAATTTTTTACTTTATAACAAGAAATATGTGTTATTTTGATACAAAAAGAGAATTCGTGTTAATGAAATAATCGTGAGGTCAATGAGAGATTAATAATAAAGAAGATTATCAAGGTAWTATMRACAAGTAGACAAATGAAAATCAATAAGAATATGAAAGAAAAGATGATACATTGAGATCTAGTAAAAATAAATAATGAATTAAATATGCAAGCTCAACAAATGACTGTTTGAGCACTTAAATAGAATCTTGTGGTGTGGTGGAATCCCAATGAAAGATACATAAGTCAAACAATTGATGAAAATATTTAAATTCTATTTTTCTTTTTTTTTTGCTCAACTAAAATAAGATGTTAATATTAAAAGTTTACGGAACATGACATATATAAAAGACATTACTAAATACATCTAGTAGAAAAAATTTATTGATTAATCACAAAACCATGAAACACGTCATAAATCATAATAACAATAGATTAATTGTCAAAAAAAAAGTAAAATATTTTATGTAGAAACAAAAATAGATAACAATAGTCAACAAAAACAATTAGAACAACATAACCAAAGAGCAATAGTCAATAAAAATAGAAATTGATAAAACTATCTAACAAAAATATATAGCAATAGCAAGCACATGATATTAATGTTGAATTGTTGAAGTACGAAAATAGTCAAGCATATAGAAATAGCAATAGCCAATATCATTGGACCTTGTTGGAGATAAAAAAAAATTAGAGAGGCAATAAGCAATAGCATATAATGGATGACCAATTAATTTTTTTTATTTTCTTCTCTAATGTAATTAGTTGATATATTTTTGGGTCCGTCTACTAAATTATTTCTCTCTTATTATATGCTACAATTTTTTGGTTTCTTTAATTTATTAAATTCTTTTAGACTATTATATATTTTAAGGGGAAAATTTGGGCCCTTGATATTTTTGGGCCCTGGGCGTGCGCCCCTGCCGCCCTCCCCCAGGGAAGGCCCTGATACCAAGCTCCTGATTATGCCACCCTTATTACAAATTTACCCAACTCCTGATTATGTCACCCTTATTACAAAATATACACCTCTCTTGATTATGTCACATTTATTACAAAATATACACCTCTCCTGATTATGTCACCTTTATTACAAAATATACACATCTCCTAATTATGTCACCTTTATTCCAATCAGTTGATAATAACATATCAAATCCTAAAGTTATGCTAAAAGTAACATATAATCATTCAAAAAACACCCCAAGTAAGAAATCATAATGTTCCCTATTAAAGCAAATCAATTGATGCTTTTAAAGTAAAACTCACCTTGTAAACACAAGTAGATGGAGACTTTAACATCAACAAATCTATCAGATGAAAATCACGTAGTCAATTCTTCTTCTTCCTTTTTCTACTTCTGCTTGCTTCGAACCTAGGAAACCAAAATATCATACACCTCTTTTAATTTTCTCTCTTATCCCCACAACAACCAAAAAAGAAAATAAAATAAAAAGAAAGCATATATACTTTTTAAATGAGGCGATCGAGGTATATGATATTTAAACCTAACTTTTGAAACACCCCTTAACTTTTGCCACGGTATAAAAATCCACCCCAAACTTGCAAATCAAATAACCCGGTTATCATATTATCCTCCCCTCAAAGGAATTCCATCCCAAATTCATTCAATCAAACAGATGAGGATATTTTGTTCTCATTTCAGATTCTAACTCTCAGGTAGCCTCTTGCCCTTTATGGAATTACCACTATACTTTCACCAGACTAATCTCTTTATTTCTCAATACTTTAGTCTTACGATCAGTATGATTGCTTATATGGCTTGTGGGGTTTCCACAAAACTTAATTTGTCATCAATCTGAATTTTGGGTAACGGTACAACCAAATTTAAGTCATCCAAATACTTCCACAAATTAGAAACATGGAAAGTGTTAGGAATAACATTGATCTCCATTGGTAGCTCTAATCGATACGATACTTCCAACCCGATTATTGATCCTGATTGCAAGAGTATAAGCAAGTCATAGCATTTTGACCCTATATGAGATAAAACTCTTTCAAGCCTTTTACTAGTTTGGACAGACTAAGCTCTATTTCATAGATTGGACTCTTTTACTGTGATTAGCCCCTACTAGTAAGAAGTTGATCCCACTCGGTGTTCCGTTTCCATTTGCTTCCAATAGTTCGACCTATCCAGAAAAATTGTCGGCCCCAATGTACCTCGGGCTCAGTTTAACCCTTTTTCCAAAACATACAATCCCCTTCCAAGGTAAAACTTTTAGCATTACTCGATCCTCCACCTGAAATTCAATCGGTTTACGGCGTTTGTTAGCATAGTTTTTCTGTCGGTCCTTAGCTGTCATTATTCATTCTTGAATTCGATCTATCTTTTCTATTATTAACTGAACAATCTATGGACCGACTAACTGTCCCCCCCCCCATTTCATTCCAACACGACAGCGTTCGACACTTTCTACCGTATAGAAATTCAGAAGGTGTCGCTTAAATGCTGGAATGATAACTGTTGTTATAGGTAAATTCGATCAACGGTAAATGGTTTTCCCATGAAATCCCAAAATCAACAATACAGGCTCGCAAAATATCTTCAAGGGTTTGTATCGTTCACACACATTTCCCATCTGGTTGGGGGTGATATGTCGTATTCAATCGAATTTAGGATCCAATTGCTTCCTAAAGCTTCCCCAGAATTTCAAGGTAAATAGGTTGTCCCTACCTGATATAATTGACAACAGGACACCATGTCGAGTCTCGGTCTCACCAATATAAATCCTCACAAGTCTTTCCAATGGATATGCCTCTTTAATTGGTAGAAAATGTGCAAATTTAGTCAAGTGATCCACAATAACCCATATAGCATTATACCCTTTCGGAGTTCGTGATTGCTTCGTTATGAAATGCATCATAATATGATCCCACTTCCACATTGGAATTTCTAACGATTGTAAATTTCTATAGGGTCGTTGATGTTCTATCTTCACTTATAAACACGTCAGACATCATTTTACGTACCGTGCAATATACTTTTTCAATCCCGATCACCAGTAAATGGTTTCAAATCTTTGTATATCTTGTTAGTACCTGGGTGAATCAAATATTGAGATTTATGAATTTCATTCAATATCATCTCTCGATTGTTACCAAAATGAGGCACCCAAATTCTGCCTTCAAAGCATATAATTCCACGATCGTCTTTTCCTCCAATTCTTTCTGCTTTTACATTTTCTTTTACATCTTCACTCTAACATCTAAAAATCTTATCAAGAAAGTTAAGGATTAGATTATCTTGCAATGCAATGGCTTTGATTGTTTCACTCTTTTCTTTTCGACTGAGTGCGTAATCCACCACATTTGTCTTTCCCGAATGATAAAGAATTTCGCAGTCATAATCATTAACCAATTCTATGCATCCTCTTTGTGTCATGTTTAACTCTTTTTAATTGAACAGATGTTGAAGACTTTTGTGATCTATATAAACCTGACATTTAGTTCACAATAGATAATGTCTCCAAATTTTCAAGGCAAAAACAACAGCTGCAAGTTCCATATCATGAGTAGAGTATTGTTTTTCATGATCATTCAGTTGTCTGGAAGTATAAGCAATGATTTTTCCCCGTTGCATCAAAACACAACCCAGACCCAACTTTGAAGCATCACTATAGATCATAAAATCTTATGTCCCTTCTGGTAATGACAATATTGGTGAGCTGCACAATTTGTCTTTCAATAACTGGAAAGCTCTTGCTTGCTCTTCTTTCCATTCATACTTTACATTATTTCTTGTCAATGGTGTTGTAATACATGAGCAGTCTTGTATGAACTTTCAGTAATACCCAGCTAAACCTAGGAAACGTCTGATCTTTGTGGGCGTTCGCAGTGTCTCCCATTTCTCAATAGCTTCAATTTTCACTAAATCAACCTTAACACCTGTTTCTAAAACTACATGACCCAATAATTGAACTTCCCTCAACCAAAATTCGTATTTCGACAATTTAGCATATAACTTTTTTCTCTTCAAAAGTTTCAGAATTAAACGAAGATGTTCGCGTGTTCTGCTTCCAATTAAGAATAGATAAGAATATCGTTGATAATAATAATAACAAATTTATCAAGATATTCGTTACATACCATGTTCATTAAATCCAGAAACGTTGTTGGTGCGTTCGTCAGACCAAAAGGCATTACCAAAAACTCATGATGCACATACCTAATACGAGAGGCAGTTTTGGCTACATCTTCATCCCGAACTTTCAGTTGATGATAACCTGATCGTAGATCAATCTTGGAGAAATAGCTAGCCCCAACCAGCTGATCAAAAAAATCCTCAATTCTGGATATAGGGTATTTATTCTTTATGGTTAGTTTGTTCAATTCTCAATAATCTATACACATCCTCATCGATCCATCTTTTTTCTTGACAAATAGAATGGGAGCACCCCATGGAAATGTATTGGGTATGATGAAAGCTTTATCCATCAATTTCTTCAAGTGCATCATTAATTCTTTTAATTCACACAGTGTCAGATTATATGGTGCACGAGCTACCGGTGTCGCTCCAGGTGTTAGATTAATTCGAAACTCAACAGATTGATCTGGAGGTAAACTAGATAACTCAACTGGAAATACTTTTGGGTATTCATTAATTACTGGTATAGATTCCACTTTACCTTTTTCTTTCTTGTATATATGCCAAGAAGCTTTGACACCCCTTTTGAATACACTTTCAGGCCTTTAAAACAGAAATCAAGCTTATATGACAATCGACACCTTACCCGGCAGATCGATATGTGTCATTTTCTTGTTGCATATTGTATACTTGTATGATTCTCTGACAGTCAATCCATACCCGCTACCACATCAAATTCCCTTATTGGCATAGGGAATAATCGGATCGGTACAACACACCCTTCTATTTCTATTTGGCAGTCATTATACTTTGGTAACAGAAACTTGACTATCATTAGCAGTATCAACTACTAATGTACAGTCTAAGGGGTACAGGTTTCAAATATGATCAACCAGCAAATAATGGTGGCATAAAAGAATAATTTGCACCGGAGTCAAATAGCGCCTTAGCATATATAGAGTTGATAAGAAATGTACTTATCACCACATCTAGGATTTGTTCAGATTTTCTGGACAGTTGGAAGGATCATCTATTTACCCTTTTTGGTTCGCTTCTTCTGATACCCCTTCGACTACTCTAAGTGTTACCAACAAAATTTGATCTTTGATTCCTTAGTTGAGGACAATCGATTTTAAAATGATTTGGGGAATCGCAATGGTAACAATGTTGGGGTATACAACAGTCTCTGGATATATGTCCAGGTTTTCCTATCTAAAACAAACTCCTTAATTAATATTACAATCACCTTGGTGGACAATTTTGACATCTTAGACACAATCTCTCATTAAATCTTTGAGTTGGATGATTTTCTGATCTCACAAACTTTGGTCTACGAAAGTCTGCTGATGATCCCTTCCATTTTCTCTTCTCCCCGACTTTCTCTCCTATTTGTCTATTTCTATTTCTTTCTGCGATTTCAGCCACATCAACAGCAAATGGGAATGTAGCAGGATCCTTTACAATTCCAAATTCTCGGATAGAAGGTTTCAATCCCCAAACATATCGTTCAACTTTACGGGATTCTGAGGAGATATAGTGTTCTGCAAATCTGAAATGTTCAATAAATTTCTCAGTGTACACTCGTACAGTCATGTTCCATTGTTCCAACTTTAAGTATTCTTCCTCTAAATGTCTAACTACAACTTTAGGATAAAATTGATCTTTAAACCTATCAGTAAATTTCATCCACGACATTGTTTGCAAAATATCTGGTTTTAATAAAGATTATACTTCCCACTAGTATAGAGCACTAGATTTAAGCATGGAAATGACAAATCTAACACTATCTTCCTATAAACATTTGTTGGTATTGAAAATTGACTCGATCTCCTTCAACCAACACATAGCTTTTATTGGGTCTCTTTCACCAGAAAACGTAGGAGGTTTACATGTTAAAAACATTTTAATGTCGCCTCCCTTTTCATTAGTAATAGGAATTTGTGGGTTAATCTTAACTCTTTCTATTTCCACACGGACAAGAATTCCCAATTGCATGAAGAATATTTCTACCCCTTGCCCTTCCCCGGCCTCTGCCTCTACCTCTACCTCTACCTCTTCCCCGACTAATATGTGTATTCTCTGGAATATTTTCAGCGGAACTATCTCTTTCCTCTATGGTAATCAGTGCAATTCTCTCAGGCCTTCTTGAATTACTTGTCATCAGATAATTCACAAGAATTTAATATACACATAATCACATTCCCAAATATAATAAGGTATTCAAGCATAAATATGTACATGTAAACCTAGGATTACATTGGTCAGTTGTAATTTGAATTTACCATATATATTGTTCTTTTAACCCATTATATTTATTCCCAAAGGTTTTATAAATGTCATGGAACCTTAATTATGCAAATAATATAGTTTAAGTCTAAGCATCATGATGAATACCTAAATCTCTTAAACTCGGGCTCTGATACCAAACTTGTAAAATCGCAACTCCCATTTGCATAAAACACATATTTCATATAACATGAAATATAACTATACACATTGGTCCCAGATGTACACATATTACTACATACAAAAGTAGCTACAAACTTTTTGCTCACATAAGTACAAATTCACAAATCATATACATATTCAGCTTCCCTAAAATCCACAGATGTAAAGCAATACCAAATCCCTTCACATCTTTCCTTTCCCTTTACCTTCCACATGTGCCCGACATGTAATGCGCATTTTTTAAAACAAAACGAGGGTTAGACCATAAGTTCGAGTGAGTAATCCCCTTGATTGTTATTATAGGGTGACAATCACCAAAACACTTTTGGTAAGCCAATCCTTGAAAAGACATCATGTAATTAACATTTATCATATCAAACCTTCATTTGTCGCATCATATGGATGAGACAACTCCAGTTTATAGCATTAAACAAATATAATAAGCAACTTGTCGTATCAAACACATAAAACACCAACTTGTCGCATCATTCGGATGCAAACCCATGTCCTCGCATCATTCAGATGTGATAACTCTTTTTGTCGCATCACACACATGCGATAACCCCAACTTGTCGCACCTCAAGGAGGCGATAAACATACTTCTCGCATCACAAGGATGCGATAAACACCATTTCTCGCACAACAAGGATGCGATAAACATTATCCCTCACATCATAAGGATGCGATAAAAACAACCTATTTCATCCATCTCAAACTTGTCGCATTAAACTCATGCGATAAAGATCAATCTCATCGCATCATAAAGATGTGATAATAATATTCCATGATCAAAAGATCATTTCTAGAAAATTGATTATGTCACCCTTATCTCAATATACTCAGCTCTTGATTATACCACCTTTTATTACAAATTTATCCAGCTCCTGATTATGCCACCCTTATCCCAATATACTCGGCTCCTGGTTATGCCACCTTTATTACAAATTTACTCAGCTCCTGATTATGCTACCCTTATTCCAATCAGTTGATAATAACATATCAAATCTCAAAATTATGCTAAAAATAACATATAATCATTGAAAAACACCCCAAGTATGAAATTATATGGTTCCCTATTAAAGCAAATCAAATGATTCTTTTAAAGTAAAACTCACCTTATAAACACAAGTAGATAAAGACTTTATCAGCAACAAATTTATCAGATAAAAATCACGAAATCAATTCTTCTTCTTTCTTTTTCTGCTTTTGCTTGCTTCGAACCCAGGAAACCAAAATATCATACACCTCTTCTAATTTTCTCTTTTATCCACACAACAAAAAAAAGGAAATAAAAAAAGAAAGCATATATACTTTTTAAATGAGGCAGTGGAGGTATATGATATTTAAACCCAATTTTCAAACCCCCCCAACTTTTACCACATTATAAAAATCCACCCAAACTTGCAATTTAAATATCCTGGTTATCTCTCTCACTCACAGACACACACATATACATATATATATATATATATATTTGTTTAATTCTCAAGAAATGACATGGTCTTTGTGTATGTGTGTATTATATATATATATAATATTATTGTAGCAATATATAAAAAGGATAATAGATTATATTATATAATGTAATTTTTTTATTTTTTACTAGGAAAAAGACCCGTTAACTTTGTTGGCAAGTGATAGTGGAAATCATATAGGTCCACAAAAATGGCCATAATGTCACCACGATGGCGGTGCAAGTGCACACCAAACACTATGATTGTTACAAGTAATAAAGTGGTAGTAATATCGAGATCGTATCCACAAGGAATAGACTTCAGAGTTTTGAGTACTAAGTCGAGAATACAATGATTTCAATTAGAGAAGAAGAAAGGATATTTGAGTAAGTTTGATGATTTTCACAATGAAATGTAAACAAGTAACTAAAAATGGGTATAGGTGTAAATGTCACTTAAGAGAACAGTAGTAACAATATGATCAAGGAGGCTGGTCAGAAAACATCTATAAAAGTATCCATCTCTCGAAAATGAACTTCCATAGAGAGTGGTCACAGTCTCCCCACAAAATCACCACTTTTACAACCAAATGCTTGTCGATCGAACTAAGTAGATTTCAATGAATCTTACTTCTACGAGTTTGGAGAGAGTGCTCATATCTCTATGTAACACCATCCCTGACCGACCTTTGAACCTTAGTTACAAAATCATGCAAAAACCATATCTCTTCATGATCATGAAAGACTTTCTCAAATCTTCTTACATCACTCAACCGTATTTCAGAGTCTGCTCATCTCTGGGTCCAAGACCTACTATTAACACCGACTTTAATTACAGTTTCAAAAATAGATAATTTTGTAACTAACTGTATAAAGGATGGCACAGATCTACCAACACGAAATGTATGATATTATGTACAGGACCTAGATTGTCAACAACTCACCAAGCACGTTAAAATTCATCCGAGAGTCACTCTTTTCAAGTGATCGGCTTGTCTGGATTTTGTTAAAGCTTCAATTTGAGTAACCAACTCTAAGAGTTAGCAATGATGGCAAAACCGAAGTATTGCTAATCTTAGGATCGATTCACACTCACACCCAAAGGGGTGCTTAGCTAATAATTAAAGTAAAAAAACATAGTATAAGAAGAGAAATACTTAAAGATTACTTGCACTAAAAATAAAATACAAAATGTCGCCATAGTGGTGAGCAGTGCTGAAAATTAAAGACTTCAAAATAAATTATAACTACAACTATATAAAATATAGAGAGAGATAGCTTAAAATTTCTACATTGTTGAAGCTCTCTCTTGAATGCTTCTCCATGGCCTCTTTATATAATGGAAGAAAGGAGATGAAACACCTCCATTAACTCGAAGGTTTTTCAAAGATTATGAACTTTTTAAAACTGCAAAGTCCAAGAGCCTCCTCCCCACTATTTTCCATGAAGGCTCAACTTTTACTTTCTCCTCCCCACTCTTTTCCAAGAAAAGAGACTTAAAATGTCTTTCACGTAATAGATAAAACTTAATAACTATTAGAGGAAGAAATCAAAACGAACAAATTGATAAATCATAAAAGCAAATTGGGAATAAAACATTTAGAGCTCGTTTGGTTTGACATAATGTTTCTGAGGGATTTGGAATTGAAAGAATTTGTAATCTTTGGTGTGTTTGGTTTGTAAGATTTGCAATAGAATTAAATTGCATTCTTTATAGATAATTTATAAATAAAATAAAAAAAAGTTATCTTTTATCAATTGATTATTACAAGACGAATTTAAAACAGTTATTATAAATAAATCCTATGAAATACCAACTACCCCAATGATTTTTTTTAGCTTATCAGTCATCAACTAACTTATTAATTATCAACTAGTTTATCAGTCATCAACTAACTTATCAATTAGCAATTAGTTTATCAAACATTACCTAAATCCTATGTTTATAAAAATTTCATTGAAATCTTGATATTTTTAGAGAAAGGAATATAAAAAAAATACAAAGCATAGGTACCCGTACCATATCTATATTATGGAGGTTCCTATCCTCTCTCCATCTTATAATTTTGTCTTTTTTTTTCAACTTTAAATTTAATTACTTATTTGACTAAAAGAAACCCGAAGCGTAAGAAGGAATCTACATCTTTAGACACACGTTGAAATAAGATACTTATCAAAGTGTAGGTCCTATTTTCGTATTTTCTCCAAAACGTGAAGGACCAAACTAGAAGTTTAGTTTCCACATGGTATGACTGTGATGGAACCAGAGTGACATTCTTCCCTGATGGTCTATAAATTAAAGCCAGACACTTCGCAGAAATAGCTTGTGATCTCGTCTAATTTCATTAAATTAAAGCATTTGAAGGTGGAAGAGCAAGTTTAATGGGGGATTCTAATAAAGTTTCAAACCTGAACTCTATTGATCTCTCCTCCCCTGATATCCCTACCTCTGTATCTTTACTCAAACAGGTCTCCATCTCTCTCTCTCTCTCTCTCTCTCTCTCTATATATATATATATATATATATATTATATGTAGGGGGAAGTGAAATAAATTTATCTGTTTGTTTTTATTGTTAATTTGTATAAATTTGTGGTAGAGTTAGATATGAATCTTGGGGATGAAGGAGAAAAAGCAGTATTCTGATAAGCTCGTTGGTTTTGAGTTTCGATATCATCTGATTAAGTTGGATGTAGATAATAAAATTGTTAATGGTTAGCGTACAAATGCTTTAGCACATATATATATATATATATATATATATATATATGAGCATTTAGTTAATTAGTACTTTTACTTGTATCTATGTGTTTTGTGAACAGAAGTTGGTTTTAGTTAAGATGGGAATGGGATTGAATATATAAAAGAAGAAGGTGAATTAGTAATGGTTGAATGTGTTTGATAGGCGTGCATGGAATGTGGTTTCTTCTATGTAACTAATCACGGGATGAGTCAGGAATTCATGGATCAAGTTTTCAGTGAAAGCAAGAAGTTCTTTGATCTTCCATTGGAACAAAAACTGAAGCTTCTTAGAAACGAGAAAAATCGAGGTTACACACCTGTTCTGGATGAACTTCTTGATCCCGTCAATCAACTCCATGGTCTCTACTTCAAACTCAACTAATTAATCGCTTCGTTAATCATTAATCATCAACCAACATCATATCATATCATATCATACAGGTGATCACAAGGAGGGATTCTATATCGGTATTGAATTGCCTCAAGATGACCCTGATGCTCAAAGAACATTTTACGGCCCCAATTTGTGGCCTCCCTCAGGTATATATATATATATATATATATATATATATATATATATATATATATATAATGAAGTTGTTAAGTATCATCATTCACCCCTCTATCAAACCAATTTTCTTATGTCTTATTCCTGAAATTATTTGGTGGACAGATATCTTGCCTGGATGGAGGCTAACCATGGAAAAGTATCATCAACAAGCTCTGTAAGTCTTTTTGTTATTTGTTGTTGAAGTCTCTTGTCGGCTGCACTTGGACTATTTATCTTCAATATTATATGTTGGAACTTGTTTTCTTTCTTTAAGAGCTCTTTTGGATGGTAATCTAATGAGGTTCCACATATTCTCACATGGTATCAGAGCCAAGGTCTATCACTCTAGGGCAATCTGTACTCGTCTACTTCCCTCTCAACACTCTCTGTGTCTGTCTAGTGTCCATTGGAGGGGGTGAGTTAAAGTCCCACATTGGCTACAGTTGGACCATTTTTTCTTGATATATGTTGGAACTTCACCTTTTTTGCTAAGTGCTCTTTTGGAAGTAATCTAATGAGGTTCCACATGTGAGATTGAAAGGAGTTTCACATATCATCATAGTGATGCTTCTTGTTTACTAGATTCCTTTTGTAATTCTTTTAGGGAAGTGGTTAGAAAAATCGCAAGGCTCATAGCCCTTGCGCTTGATCTAGATCCCGACTTCTTCGAACGACCAGAAATGCTTGGGAAGCCTATTGCAATCCTACGGTTGCTGCACTATGGAGGTGAAAACTTGAACTCAACAACTCTGATTCGTTTTCGATGTTTCCAGAATCACGTTAGAAGAAGATAATCAGCAGATATAGTTTATGATGCAGGTCAAGTGTCTGATCCTGCCAAGGGATTATTTGGAGCTGGTGCACACTCTGATTATGGTCTGATCACTCTTTTGGCAACAGATGGTGTCCCTGGACTTCAAGTATGAAAACCTGCTATTCACTCCAAATACACTCGGTTTTGCTTTGAGAATGTTTGTTAATTTTGGTTTTCGGTTTTTCAGATATGCAAGGACAAGGATGCGAGGCCTCAGGTGTGGGAATACGTTGAACCAGTAAAAGGGTAAGTCAGTAGAATCGCTTATTGAAAAAGTTTTGTTTAATTAAACCCAAGGTAGCTTTTGGGAAGCGTTTCAATAAGCTCCATGGGCTCTTTTTTCCACGAATTTTCCAAGTATGCCCTTTGTATTTTTCCAATTAATCTTTTAACATGTCTTTTTGGGTCAACTTTTTACTGTTGACTAGTCATGAGCTAGCTTTTTAACTAACTTATCAGCTAGTTTGCGAAAAAGGTACATGAAGATTGTAAACTACGTTTTTGCTGTTTGATTTGTGAATACGCACCTTTCAGGGCCTTCGTTGTAAATCTTGGAGATATGCTGGAGCGATGGAGCAACGGTATTTTCAGGTATAACTATCATTCAGTATTCATGTCATCATTTTATGGCTAATCTTCATTCTGATAACTGATGCTGATCCGTTAAAAATTCCCAAAAAGAGCTCTGAGGTTTGGAAGAGTGATTGGTTTTTTTTTACCAAATTTACCATTTTGTTTTTGTTTTTTTTGATTAACCTGGATATCTAACCCGCTATGTGAGCCGACTAATCACAGGGTTGTACTTGGGTTCCAATAATTCATTCCAAATCTTCTCTTTTTGCAAGTTTTAGTGCTCGTTTAGCTTTCCTGCAAGAATGATTAGTTTGCAACAGGAAGTGGTTCAAATAACGTATCACTCGAAGTGTACTCCTTTGGCTTATTTATATGAAACCGTTTTCAGGTCGACCTTGCATCGAGTGTTGGGCAATGGTCAAGAGCGATATTCGGTACGACGTTTTCTAGATACTACTACATATACTCTTTGGATTCAAACGTACCCCGGACCACCTCACCTCTTAAGCTAGAACTCATACAAGCTTTTTGTTTTTTGTATGTGAAGATTCCATATTTTGTGGAGCCAAGTCATGATTGTGTGGTTGAATGCTTACCTACATGCCAATCAAAAGAGAACCCTCCCAAGTAAGTATTTGGTCTCCTATTGCTATTTTGGTCTGTTAAATGGGGAAAAAATGGTTTTAGTTTTGCATGAATGAGCAATTTCGGACACGTTTTATAGATACAACGAGTTTGTTTACAGACTATCGCTTGGTACTTAGCATCGTTAACATTTCGATTGTCGTAGGTTTCCTCCAGTCAAATGTGAAAGCTACCTTCTTGGACGCTATCGGGACACCCATGCTGATCTTAATACTTACAACAAACACTGAATTTGAATGCTTGCCATTGAGCTTGTTTTGTATCACATAATGCAAGTTTTGGCAAGTTATTATAATTGCATACAAAATAATGTCGATATTTAGAGGATTATCGATATGCATGTTCGTTAACTTTTCTAGGTCGGGTTTTAGACCAAAGCAAAGTTACAACCTTCACAGGAAGACAAATGTTGCTTTTATAGTTGTTGTATTGCAGTCAACAGGCCAATGAAATATAAGGTTAAATGACCTTCTGACAGGTTTTATTTAAATCGATGACCTTTGAGAATTGTTACTGCTTAATAGAAAACTGTCACTTGCATACACAAAAATGTCTAAAAACTTGTCAAAAGGTGGGAATCTAAAAAGTACTTGTTAGTAAAATCCCTTGTTATGTAGAGGGCTTTCATAATTATTGAACTCAAAACAACAATCACAACATACTTTCAGAACAACATAGAGATTACAACATACACAAAGAGAACATCAAAGAAGATGATGACAGACTCAAAAAAACCCGAAACTTGAATACAGACGGAAGTTATGAATGCTTCATCTGTAGCTTCTGTAGTTGGGGGTGTACATGCAGCTCTCAGCATACTTCACTAGATCTGCAGGACGGGGGAGACGTGTTGCCAAACCTGTAATGCATTTGGCCAATTTATTAAAGCAAGTTACCATTACCTTTCGGAATCTGATTTTAAGCTTAAAATACAAAAAAAAAATGGCACACAGGTAAAACGGGACTCACCAAGATCGTATGCTTTAGCAGCAACATTTGCAGCAATATGAGCCGAAATCTTTCTGATGTTAGTGAGCGGAGGATAAATCATTCCTTTATCGTAGTGCTCTTGTGTTACTTGATTGGCCAATGCTTCCGCTGAATCAAAGCGGATCCATTAAATTAGTGAATATACAAATAGATTCTTATAAATGTCAATTTTTTGTGGTGCTATTTTTTAACTTAGGTTTGTAAGAAACACAATTTGTTAACTGAAACTAAGGTAATAATCATGATTGGTACTTACATGCTGCCAAAAGCATTTCATCGTGTACACGGATGGCACCAGAGATGACCAACCCAAAACCAAGTCCAGGGAAAATGTAAGCATTATTTGCCTGGAGATAAATGAAGAGAAAATAGCATGAGTGTCCATATAACGGATTTCAATATTCTGTAAGTAAAACTATAATGGGTGGTATAGAACCTGGCCAGGAATGAAGAGTTTGCCATTGTATTCATAAGGATCAAAAGGACTGCCACTGGAAAATATTGCACGGCCCTATACAACAATGGATCAAGTGTTAATTACGTGTTAACATGAGATGTTTTGCCAAAAGTTGAAATGGTAAGTTGGTGATTTCAGTTACCTCAGTCCAGGTGTAAGCTTGTTCAGCAGTGCACTCGGCTTGTGAGGTTGGATTGGAGAGCGCCATAATAAGAGGTCTCTGCATACAATAATTTATTTCATTACTTTAGTTTGTGTTTCCTTGCATATGAGAGAAATAGAGAGAGAGAGAGAGAGAGAGAGAGAGAAAAACCTCATTGTTGGCTGCCATACATTCAACGACATCCTTGGTAAACGTCTGTCCTACCCCAGATGTTCCAATCAGGACAGTGGGTTTGATGGCCTGGTGAATATGGGAAATGAACTTGTGATGCAAAACTGGTCCAATTTTTATCATGAAAATAGTTGAAAAATCATTCAATCATCTCACCTTGACAGCATCTAAGAGAGTTGTATGAGGCTCGTGTTCATGAGCCCATGGTTTCTTGAAATGCTGAAGGGATTCTTTACGAGAACTAACAATCAAACCCTGCAGAAGTAGTCATCATGTAAGAAGGACAGAAGCACAGGTTAGAAAAATGAATTGATCTGTCATCTATATGTACCCACCTTAGAGTCCACGAGAAAGATCTTCTTACGAGTCTCTTCCACAGGAATATTTGTCTGCAAACAGTAAACAAAACCATAAGAAAAACAGCAACTATTAGTGAATTCTATACAACTTGATGAAAGAGAACAGACGGTATTAATTTCTTAAGCATAAAGTTGGTACCTTTGTTGATATCTCAAGAGCTATAAGTTCTGCTATACCAGTCCCCGCCTGAAATACAAGAATATTTAGGATATCAGTGAAAATGGCGAGTTTATTCCTCCTAAATCCTAATGCATAGAAATGTCTCCATAAATCCACAAGCGTGATTAAACGCACGCACGGATGCTTTATCGATTAGTACTCCCATATTCTTATGAATGCGATAATTGTTAGTGCATTACAAGTGGTAAAAGGTTATATGTGCAGCTTTTGCTACCAAAAAATAAATTTGTTAATGTAAAGGAAGAAAAGCTAGAGTTTTGTGCACACTTGACCAAAATCCACATAAGTTCAAAAGAAAAGGACACAAAGATAAGGGTCTCACTTCCCCAGCACCAAGGAACAAGAATGTGTGATCAGCCAAGCTCCCACCAAGTAATTTCAGTGATGCAACAAGACCAGCAAGAACCACAGATGCAGTCCCCTGAAATCAAAGATACAAAGTTATACAGGAATACAGAGATCAGCACAAGGTAAATTCATCAATCAACCAATATATACCTGGATATCATCATTGAACACCAAATGAGTGGTTCCATATTTGGCCAACAGCTCAAATGCATTGTGGTTTGCGAAGTCTTCAAACTGCAAATTTTAGACAATGCAGATATAAGGGTGCACATGAAAAGATGCATCTATGAAATCTTACTTTTGAATCAAACTTTTAGAAGCCTTATTAATTGTTTACCTGCACAAGGACTTTTTCACCATAGTTCTGCTTGACTGCAGACATGAACTCTTCAAGTAAGTCATAATATTCCTGCAGAAACAAAAGATGTTAAAGCCTGCCTCTATATCAAGGGAAAGACTTGATTAAGTTACAACAAATGTTGACAACTTCAATGCCCCTAATCTAGCATGAGGAGCATCGATATATACCTTTCCAGTGGCCCTCTTTTGTTTAAGACCAATATAGAACTCATCATCCAGTAGCTTCTGATTGTTTGTCCCCACATCAATGGTTATAGGCAAGCACTACATGGACAAGTTAAAACCATAATTAAATGCAATGGAGATGATAGCAAGAGGTCATAGGAGATTTAAATTTGGAAGATATGTATATCTACCAAACATTGAATACAAAAGTAAGTACTCGCGTAACCACTATCTGTAGTAGATTTTCTTTTCTTTTTTTTATAAATAATCCATAGTAACTTTATGGGTCAAAGTTCCATTCGTCTTATTTCTATATTGTTTGGAGCAACTGCCAATATACTGGAGTGCTGCCCCCTGCCTTCCTTCCCCAGAAAAAGAAGAAAGACACGCAAAGTGAACCATATGAAGAGAAAACAGTTCCTTTCATTTAATGAAACTTACTGCGGATGGTCTAACTCCTCCAAGTGCAGTATATAAAGCAAGTTTCCCAACTGGAATTCCCATACCCTGTACAAATTAAATAGTTCCAATTTTAGACTACAATATTATTACATCGGATAAAACTTCCATCACCTAGATGAAAAAAAATACTAAAAGAAAAAGAAGATTAGCTAATTTTACCTGACACCCAAGATCTCCCAGTCCCAGGATACGCTCACCATCTGTCACCACAATAACTTGAACACTTCTCTCAGGCCAGTTCTTTAGTACCTCTAGAATCTTTCCCCTGAAAATTCAGGTTACTCCATTGTCAGGTCACACGAATTTGAAATAATCTATATCAAGTGAACACAGCTCAATCTAAAAGCCATACTTTTCTTTCAAACTAATGTAGAGACCCTGAGGGCGCTTGAAAATACTCCCATACTTCTGGCAAGCCTCACCAACTGTAGGAGTGTATACAATAGGGAGAAGTTCTTCCACATTATCAATAAGAAGCTTGTAGAACAGCCTCTCATTCCGCTCCTATAAAAACCATAGTACAATGAAGATTTGGAACAAACAGCAAATGGAATATAAACTACTAATTATACTATCATCATCTGCAGGAACAGCACTAGTTCAACTTTTGAAATATGTTGATTACTTGGAACCAAAGGAAAATGAAAGCGAGAATAAAGTTTCAAGTGATACCTCGAGTTCCATCAAAGCCACATATTTGTGTAAGGGAACATCATAGTTACGAATATTGTGCATCAATTTCTTCTCCTGATGAGTGATGAACACAAAATATCTTATTGAACGAAATGTCCATATTTAATTAAGCCGAACATCACGCATGAAGATATCGGGAAAAATGCATACCTGAAGCTCCTGTGATGAAATTGCCGGAGGCAACAGACCACGCAAGTAATGAGAGTCTCTTTCCCTCTCGGTGAAGGCAAGCCCCTTGTTATGGCGTGGATCCCTCAGCAAAGTGTATCCACTGGAAACGATAAACTTTTGCAGTTAAAAAAAATCCGAGAAGAAAATCTAAATAATTGATGTAATCAGCAGATTTAGAAGTAGATTAAGCAAGCATACATATTATGCGCACAGATTAATCAAACGTCAATTCAGAATCATCAAACGTCAATTCAGAATCATCAAACGTCATTGATCAAACGGATCTTACAAACTACACATCTACAGATTTGGCATATAAAATTACAAATATACATCCAAGAGCTTCCTATCAACCATCATACTGGATAAAACTAAATCCGAAACAAGCTCGTTACATATGTAAAAGCAAATACAAACAATAAGCAAAATGAAAAATCACAAAAGTAGCTGAAGCTAGTTGAGCTAGAAAATCAAAAGTCATTGATGAAAAGAATCAGCAGTAGTAGTGATATACCTGGCGACGGAAACAGTCCAAGGCGTGACGAGTTGATCTTCAGTGGCACGATCTTCACCATAAACGTCCTCAACGCCACCGCCAACGGTGGACCTGGGACTCATGTCAAGAACAGTCTCTCCGTCCCTCATCTGCTTCAACGTACTCTCCATGATCTCTCTTCTGAAAGCTTAATAATTCAGCTGATGAAATGCAATCCTGTAATCAACTCATATATACGCATACGTATATATATACCAAACCCAAATCAATGAGTCAATTATACATACAAATCGGTCAAAGCTCCTTCCTTATATATAAACTACACATCATAAATATTAAAATATAAATCATAAAGTACGGTTTCTGATCGGTTTAAGTCTTCAAATATCAAAAGTATCATGAGATGTTATGTTTAAATTCAATGAAGAATAAAAATTTATTTGTGGCCACGAAGGTTAAAATAAGATGATT